TCGGGAGGCTGAGGCAGGAGAATGGTGTGAACCTGGGAGGCAGAGCTTGTAGTGAGCCAAGATTGCGCCACTGCACTCCAGCCTGGGTGACAGAGTGAGACTTCATCTCAAAAAAAAAAAATAATAATAAATAGGTTTCAGGGCCAGGCACCGTGGTTCATACCTGTAGTCCCAGCTACTCTGGAGGCTGAGGCAGGAGGATCACTTGAGCCTGGGAGTTTGAGGTTGCAGTGAGCTATGACTGCACCACTGCACTCCAGCCTGGGCAACAGATCAAGACCCTGTCTTTCAGAAAAAAAAAAAAAAAAAAGCCTGAGTGCGGTGATTTACACCTGTAATCCTAGCACTTTTGGAGGCCGAGGCGGGTGGATCACCCTGAGGTCAGAAGTTTGAGACCAGCCTGGCCAACGTGGTGAAACCCCATATCTACTAAACACACACACACACACACAAATTAGCTGGGCGTGGTGGTGCACACCTGTAGTTCCAGCTACTCGGGAGGCTGAGGCAGGAGACTCACTTGAACCTGGGAGGCAGAGGTTGCAGTGAGATGAGATCATGCCTGCACTCCAGCCTGGGCAACACAGTGAGACTCCATCTAAACAAAACAAAACAAAACAAAAAAACAAACCAGAAGAGGCAAGGTAAGCAGGTTTGAGATTACCTAGTTTGAATTTCAGCAGGCTCTGGAGCCTAAAGGTTGTCCTGAGTTTTTGGTACCTGGCCCGGGGGTAATTAGCACAGGTGGATGGTGGCTCAGGGAGCCTGTGCTCATAAAGGTGTGGATGGGGTGTGGGCTCTGGATTGGCTGGTTTACATAGGAAAGGTGAGTAGTTGACTATCTCTAGCATTTGGGGTTGCTGGAGTGGGGATTTAAATCAGATTTAGCATGTCATAACTTAGTCCACAAGGGAAAAAAAATCAAATTTAGGCTGGGAACTGTGGCTCACACCTGTAATCCCAGCACTTTAGGAGGCCAAGGCAGGAGGATCGCTTGACGCCAGAAGTTCCCAGAACAACCTGGGCAACATAGCAAGACCCCATCTATGAAACAAAGTGTTGCTCTTTCATCAAGGCTCGAGTGCAGTGGCACAATCATGGCCTCTACCTCCTGGGCTCAAGTGATCCTCCCATTTCAGTCTCTGGAGTTTCTGGGACTACAGGCACACACCACCATGCCCAGCTAATTTATTTATTTAGAGATGGAACTTCACTCTTGTTTCCCAGGCTGGAGTGCAATGGCACGATCTTGGCTCACTGCAACCTCCGCCTCCCAGGTTCAAGCTATTCTCCTGCCTCAGCCTCCCAAGTAGCTGGGATTACAGGCACACACCATCACACCAGGCTAATTTTTTGTATTTAGTGGAGACGGGGTTTTGCTATGTTAGTCGGGCTAGTCTCGAATTCCTGATCTCAGGTGATCCCCCGGCCTCGGCCTCCCAAAGTGCTGGGATTACAGGTGTGCACCACCGTGCCCAGCCATTTTTGCATCTTTTATAGAGGAAAGGGTTTCACTATGTTACTCAGGTTGGTCTTGAGCTCCTGACCCCAAGTGATCCTCCCACCTCAGCCTCCCAAAGTGCAGGGATTACAGGTGTAAGCCACCACACCTGGCCCGGAGACTTTCCTGACTGTATCGCTCTCCATATTAATCTGTCCCCATATCTGCCTGACTCAGGTCACTCTGTCCCGGTTCTATCTTCATATCTCTTATGTTCTCTGTCTGATTTGCCCTCTGACTGTTCTCTTTTCCCTGTCTCTGTCTCCAACTCCCTCCTGCCCTTTATCTCTGATGCATCCGTCATCCCTTTCAGTCTCCGCGCTCATCTCTCTGTGTCTCAGGCACTCTTTCAGCTTCTGCCAGGCACCCCGCCTGCCCCCATTGCACCTTCCCCTCTCGCCTGTGTCCAGAGGGGGCAGTGTTGAGCTGAGGGTGCACTTGGTCCCTGCACTGCCCCAAGGAGTCAAGGCCAGGAAGCATGCTTGGTGGGGTGTGTGTCTGAACCTCAAGCCTAATGGAAAGTCTTGCCTCCTGCACTGCCGACCGCAGGCATCCAACCCTTCACCAAAGACTTCATCCCTCCCTCCTGCCTCAGGAAAACCAGGGCTGGACTGAGGGGGATCAGATGGGGAACCCCAGGGAGTACCTTCCTGCTCTGCCCCGATCTCGACAGAAGATGGATATTTACATCATGAGGCCTGAAAAAGACCACTAACATCAAAATACCAAAATCACTAATGTATCTTATAAACATATTCCCTCCCCAGAAGGGTATAGTCATATTCATTGTGTAGACTGAAAAAAATATTTGTCCTCCTCCTTCCTCTCTTTTTCCTTCCTTCCTTCCTTCCTTTCTTTCCTTCCCCTTCCCTTTTTTTTTTTTTTTTAAATTTGAGATGGAGTATCGCTCTTGTTGCCCAGGCTGGAGTGCAATGGTGCGATCTCAGCTCACTGCAACCTCCACCTCCCGGGTTCAAGCGATTCTCCTGCCTCAGCCTCCGGATAGCTGGGATTATAGGCGCCCACCACCATGCCTGGCTAATTTTGTATTTTTAGTAGAGATGGGGTTTCTCTGTGTTGGTCAGGCTGGTCTTGAACTCCCAACCTCAGGTGATCCACTGGTCTCGGCCTGCCAAAGTGCTGGGACTACAGGTGTGAGCCACGGCACCCAGACTCCTTCCTTCCTCCCTCTTTCTTTCTTTCTTTCTTTCTTTCTTTCTTTTTCTTTCTTTCTTTCTTTTTCTTTCCTTCTTTCTTTCTCTTTCCTTTTTCTCCTTCCTTCCTTCTCTTTTCTTTCTTTTTCTTTCTTTCTTTTCTTTCTCTTTCTTTCTCCTTCCTTCCTTCCTTCCTTCCTTCCTTCCTTCCTTCCTTCCTTCTCTCTTTTCTTTCTCTCTTCTCTCCTCTCTGTCTCTCTTTTGAGTTTCACTCTGTTGCCCTGGCTGGAGTGCAGTGGTGTGATCTCAGCTCACTGCAACCTTCACCTCCTGGGTTCAAGCAATTCTCCTGCCTCAGCCTCCCGAGTAGCTGGGATTACAGGTACACATCACCGCTCCTGGCTAATTTTTGTATTTTTAGTAGAGACAGAATTTCACCGTCGGCTAGGCTGATCTCAAACTCCTGACCTGAAGTGATCCACCCGCCTCGGCCTCCCAAAGTGCTGGGATTACATGTGTGAGCCATAGCACCTGCTTGCCTCAGGATCTAATTGTATCTTTTCAATTTTCTTTCTTTTTTTTTTTTTAGACGGAGTCTCACTGTTGGCAGGCTGGAGTGCAGTGGCGCAATCTCGGCTTACTGCAACCTCTGCCTCCTGGATTCAAGCAATTCTCCCGTCTCAGCCTCCCAAGTAGCTGGGACTACAGGTGCATGTCACCATGTCTGGCTAATTTTTGTATTTTTAGTAGAGACGGGGTTTCACCATGTTGGCCAGGATAGTCTTGATCTCTTGACCTCGTGATCCACCTGCCTCGGTCTCCCAAAGTGCTGGGATTACAGGCGTGAGCCACTACACCTGGCCTGTACCAATTCTATTTTGAAGTGACTTGTTAATGCCGTCTTGGGAGCAGGGGTAGTGTCTCCTAGACTGCTTTCTTATACATGATAGGTACACAGTACATATTTGTGGGTAGTCTGGAGAAAATACTATAATATTGGGATCTATAAAATCATTGTAAAAGTTGCCTTTTTCTTTTTCTTTTTTTTTTTTTTAAGACCAAGTTTGGCTCTTGTTGTCCAGGCTGCAGTACAATGGTGTGATCTCAGGTCACTGCAACCTCCATCTCCCAGGTTCAAGCGATTCTCCTGCCTCAGCCTCCCTAGTAGCTGGGATTACAGGCATGTGCCACCACGCCTGGCTAATTTTGTATTTTTAGTAGAGACGGTTTCACTATGTTGGCCGGGCTGGTTTTGAACTCCTGACCTCAAGTGATCCATCCGCCTCAGCCTCCCAAACTGCTGGGATTACAAGTGTGAGCCACTGCGCTCAGCCAAAGTTATCTTTTTGATTCAGACTTGTAACAGGATTCCATCTACTCCTAAGATTTTTTTTTTTTTTTTTTTTTGAGATGGAGTCTCACTCTGTTGCCCAGGCTGGAGTGCAATGGTGTAATCTTGGCTCACTGTAACCTCCGCCTCCCAGGTTCAAATGATTCTCCTGCTTAAGCCTTCCAAGTAGCTGGGACTACAGGTGTGCACCACCACCCCTGGCTAATGTTTTGTATGTTAAGTAGAGACAGGGTTTCACTATGTTGCCCAGGCTGGTCTTGAACTCCTGACCTCAGGTGATCCACCCACCTTACCCTCCCAAAGTGCTGAGATTACAGCCACCATCACTGGCCTAAGATATACTTTGGAGTTCATGTGATACTCATGTAATAAACTCTCAGAGAACCTTTTCTCCCATCCCCAAAGTCATAATTGTGTTTATTTATTTAAGAGTCGGGGTCTCACTAGGTTGTCCAGGCTGCAGTGCAGTGGCTATTCGCAAGTCCAATCATGGTGCACTATTGTTCCGAACCCCTGGCATCAAGCAGTCCTCCCACCTCAGCCTCCCTGGTAGCTGGAAATACTCCACTCTATGACTGTGTTCACTCTGGTGATTAAATACAAATTATTCCTTTGATGACTGTGTAATGATGAGCTGCCAAATTAACTGACCCTGGAGCTGGGCCACTTCCGGTCTTGTGTGATACGTATGATCATGGTCTTTGAACCTGTTCATTTCTTTTTCTTTTCTCTTTTCCTTCCTTTCCTTTCTCCTTTCCTTTCTTTTTTCTTTCTCTCTCTTTTTTTTTTTTTTTTTGATGGAATCTTGCTCTGTCACCCAGGCTGGAGTGCAGTGGTGCCATCTCGGCTCCCTGCAACCTCCACCTCCTGAGTTCAGGTGATTCTCTTGCCTCAGCCTCCCGAGTAGCTGAGATTACAGGTGTGCACCACCACGCCTGGCTAATTTTTGTATTTTTAGTTGAGACAGGGTTTCACCAGGTTGGCCAGGTTGGTCTTGAACTCCTGACCTCAAGTGATCCACCCACCTCAGCCTCCCAAAGTGCTGGGATTACAGGTGTGAGCTATCACGCCAGGCCACTGTTCATTGAGATTTCTGTTACTTGCAGCCCAAAGCATCTTCACAGAAGAGAGAAGGGTCCTCCTCATGGAACCATGTGCTTCTCATGCCCTGGCACTCACCTTGAGGGAGCCAGAGGAGGAGAAAGGGTATCAAAGGACTGGCCAGCATTAGTGCTTGAGTAAGGGGGACAGGTCTGCAGCGATCCCCGTCCACTCTGGCAGGAAGGCTGCCTCTGGTTTAAAGATTTTGAGGAAAGGGGAGTTGGGGAGGGTGTAATTGGCCAGGTAGATGGTATCTCCGCCCGCGAGGTAGGCGGCCCAGATCCCAAACGTCCCGATGGTCATGATGGTGTGGTTACACTGTGTGAGTAGTGCAAAATCTTTGGCAGGTGAGCCCTCAATGCCATCGCCAGCAAACACCACATCACCGTGGGAGGTGTCAATGTTCTCCCGACACCAGGCCATGCCATTACTGGTGACCACAAAGATCGGGGAGCTGTAGCGAGCTCGGAACATGTCCAGAGCCTGCTGTAGGTATCGCCGGTCGGCCACCACCCCCTTCCACACTCTTGGCATGACATGGACATAGTCCCCTCGGCGAACATGGACCCCTACAAAGGTGCCCGGCCGGCTCCCGTTCACCTGCAGGCCCCGCAGGAACTTCTGGGCCTCCTCGCGCACGTGGTCGTGCAGGGTGAACTCCTGGAGGATCTCGTGGCGGAGGTGGTGGTAGAAGGTCCAGGAGCAGGGGTAGCCCGTGAGGCGGACATACTCCCCTGGGATGTGGCGGTACTTCTCCTCCATCCAGTCATTCAGGTGGTAGTTCTGCCAGGGGATCCTGCTGGCCGTGGTGCTGTGCAACACCGGCAGGGTGATTTTGAAAATGGGGGCCAGGGTGCTGTGCATCTGGGCGGGGATGAAGGCGGGCCGCCCGTTCATCTTGGCCAGGGCGTACAGCGTGGCGTACTCACCCATCTGGTTCCCCAGGCGGCCTATAGCATTGATCGTCCATATCCCCCTGAGCTGGCTGGGTTGCAGTGCCTTTGATGTTGAGGCCACCCCTGGTATCTGCACCGGTAACTCCCACATGGCTTGAAACTTCGCTAGCCGCTGCTGAATGTGAAATATAGTGGAAACCGTAAAGACAAAGAGGATGAAGTGGGCCATGGAAAAGGAGAAAGGCATCTGAGTGACCAGCATGGCTGTCAGGGGAGGAAAACAGGACACGTTAGCTGAGAGATGGAGGCCCGGGGCGCGGGTGAATGTGGCCATGCGGTCGTGCGCAGGCAATGCATGGGTGCATGTGAGCGTACTTTTATTTCGGGTGTGTAAATACTTGGCACATACTTGCCTATGTGCATAGGCATGTATCTCGAGTGTGTTTATACAGATGTGTCTACATTGTGTTCACTGGTGGGTGTGTATACACAGATGTGTATACATTGTGTGTAATGTGGATCTGGGGATCTATACATTGTATACATATACAGGTGTGTGCAAAATTGTGTGTGTACATATACAGCTGTGTACACATGGACATGTGTACATGGTAGTGTATGGGTATAGATATATTGTGTACATATAAGGGTATATGTGTAAGTATGTGTATATATGTCATCTAAGTGGCTGTGAACACAGCATGTGTATATATGTGAATGTGTATATATAGGAGTATGTATATATACTTTGTGTATCTATACCTTGTATGCATTTTTGTTTGGTTTTATTTATTCATTTATCATTTATTTTTTGAGACAGGATCTTGCTCTGTCACCTGGGCTGGAGTGCAGTGGTGAGAATGTGGCTCACTGTAGTCTTGACCTCATAGGCTCAAGCAATCCTCCTGCCTTAGCCTCCTGAGTACTTGGGACTACAGGTGCACATCACCACGCCCAGATAACTAAAAACAAATTTTCTAGGCCAGGTGCGGTGGCTCAAGCCTGTAATCCCAGCACTTTGGGAGGCCGAGACGGGTGGATCACGAGGTCAGGAGATCGAGACCATCCTGGCTAACACAGTGAAACCCCGTCTCTACTAAAAAATACAAAAAACTAGCCGGGCGTGGTGGTGGGCGTCTGTAGTCCCAGCTACTCGGGAGGCTGAGGCAGGAGAAGGGCCTGAACCCGGGAGGCGGAGTTTGCAGTGAGCTGAGATCTGGCCACTGCACTCCGGCCTGGGCGACAGAGCGAGACTCCGTCTAAAAAAAAAAAAGAAAAAAAAAAAAGAAAAATTTGTTTTGTAGAGATAAGGTCTCAGTATGTTGGTCAGGCTGGTCTCAAACTCCTAGGCCCAAGTGATCTTCCCACCTTGGCCTCCCAAAGTGCTGGGATTATAGGTGTGAGCCACTGCACCTGGTCTACACTGTATGTTTAAATGTTTAAATGTGGGTGTTTATCGACTGAGTGTACATATGTGGATGTCTACATATGGTGAGTACAAGTATATGTAGCTATTATTTACTGGTAATCCAGTTTGTAGAGATGTTCATTTTTTTCTTTTTTTTTCTGAAATGGAGTCTCACTCTGTCACCCAGGCTGGAGTACAATGGCACGATCTCTGCTCACTGCAACCTCTGCCTCCTGGGTTCAAGCTATTCTCCTGCCTCAGCTTCCTGAGTAGCTGGGATTACAGGCGTGTGCCACCATGCCTGGCTAACTTTTGTATTTTTAGTAGAGACGGGGTTTCACCATGTTCATCAGGCTAGTCTCAAACTCCTGACCTCATGATCCACCTGCCTCAGCCTCCCAAAGTGCTGGGATTACAGGGGTGAGCCACCGCGCCCGGTCCGAGATGTTCATCTTTTGTTTTTATTTTCCTACTTGCCAGACTCCAGTGCCAGATATATTCATCTTTGCATGTCCTGCCTGTATCCACTTTGGAGGGAAATTGTCCACCTGGCCTGCCTGCCCTCTTGGCCACAGTCAGTTGAACTTGAGAGGAACACCCAGCTCCACCGTGGATTTTCCATTCATTGGCCATGACATAGTATATGACAAGTGTAGGCTGGCTCTAAAAGATGAGTTGTGGCCGGGCGCGGTGGCTCACACCTGTAATCCCAGCACTTTGGGAGGCCAAGGTGGGCAGATCACCTGAGGTCAGGAGCTGGAGACCAACGTGGCCAACATGATAGGGCCCCGTCTCTACTAAAAATAGAAAAATTAGCTGGGCATGGTGGCAGATGCCAGTAATCCCAGCTACTGAGGAGCCTGAGGCAGGAGAATCGCTTGAACCCGGAAGGCGGAGGTTGCAGTGAGCCAAGATCATGCCACTGCACTCCAGCCTGGGGGACAGAGCAAGACTCCATCTGAAAAAGAAAAGAAAGGGAAGAGGGGAGAGGAGGGAGGGAACAGGAGGGAGTGGAGGGGAAGGGGAGGTGGAGGGGGAAGGGGGGATAAAAGGGAGGGAGGGGAAGGGGAGGGCCCTCTCCCTGGTTGTCTTGGGTGGACACACGATGCCTAAGGAATACCTAAGTTGGATGAGTAGACTGTGGGTCTGTTTAAACCCACTTGCCTTTTGACGCAAGGGGCTTTGGGGGCAGTGAAACAACCTACAAGCAAACCCTTTAGGGCATCCTGTTTATCTACCCTAAAAGCCCATTTCCCTTTTTCTCCTTGGAAAACAGCGTAATTTTCTGTGCCAGCCTGCATGTCGCTCCAGAGGCGGCTGATCAAACTTCCAGCCTTGCAGAAAATCTGAAGGTTAACTAAATCCAGAAGTCTCATATTTCTTTTGCCTCCTATCAGGCCAGCATGGGTATGCTGATGATTCCTACCAAGTCGCAGTCTGGGAGATTAGTTGCTGGAAGGGCTTAGGAATGTTTTATCCTCATCGTTTCAAAAAGGGACCAAGATAAGTAAGCGAGCGCTGCTTTGCTGCTGGTTTCTGAAATGCGCAATTAATCTTGTATGTGATGCCTGGATGTGTAGGCAGGGCCTCTTTTGGGGACGGCATGAGATCGATCCAAAGCCTAAGGAAATGGTAGCAACAGCATATGAAATTGGATGGAGCCTCCAGGTGACTGAATGACTTGTGGATCTGCCAAAGTTAACTGACCCCTGAGGCTGGGCCACTTCCGGTCTTGTTGTGATACGTACTGATTAATGCGTCTTGAACCGTCGTTCACGTTCTCCTTGTCTCTTTCTTCTTTCTTTCTTCTTTTTTTTTTTTTTTTTTTTTTTTGTGGAGTCTCACTCCCTGTCACCCAGGCTGGAGTGGCAGTGGGGGTACCATCCTCGGCTCACCTGGGCAACCTCCGCCCATCCTGGGTTCAATGGGCGAA